GGTGTGGGGGTGCAGCTAGGGAGGGGGTGGGTTCCCAACCTGCAGATTTATTAGTTTCTCAGGCAGATTTTGACTTTCAGCCTTTTGTACTAGTTGGAGAAACTTTATATTAAATGAAATTTTTGGAAAAACATGACTATAACATGTTTAAAGTGAACATTAATGCTTCATCATGGCACAGAAATGCTTGTATAGATGGAGCACAGCCAGTCCAAAAATCCAGAATCCCAAAACCTTTGGAAAATCCAGCAGTGGAACTCGTGACGAGTATATTATTAAAAATACAGTGATCTGTAATCCCAGCACTTTGGGAGGGGCTGAGGCAGAAGGACTGCTTGCACAACTTAGCAAGACCCAGTCTCTGTAAAAAGTAAAAAAAAAAATTAGCCAGGTTTGGTACATGTGCCTGTGGTCTAGACACTTGGGAGGCTGAGGCCGGAGGATTGTTGAGCTCAAGGAGGTTGAGGCTGCAGTGAGCCAGGGGCAACAAAGCAATGACGCTTATCTCTAAAAAATTCAATAATAAAAATAAATATTGTATAAAGAATTGATTACAATCAGTTATAGATTTGTTCTTTCTCTCACAGCTGCACTTGACTAGCCTAAAAAATATATAGTATAAAACTACCTTCAGGCTATGTGTATAAGGTGTATATGAAACAAAATTGAATTTCATGTTTAGACTTGTATCCCGTCCTCAAGATATCTCATTATGTACAGGCAAATATTCTAAAATCTGAAAGCCAAAACACTTCTGGTTCCAAGCTTTTTTTTTTTTTTTTGAGACAGAGTCTCAGGCTGGTGTGCAGTGGCTCCATCTCAGATCTATGTAACCTCCATCTCCCAGGATTAGGTCATTCTCTTGCCTCAGCCTCCCAAGCAGCTGGGACTACAGGTGTGTACCACCATGCCTGGCTAATTTTTCTATTTTTAGTACAGATGGGTTTCAGCATGTTGGCCAGGCTCCTGACCTCAGGCAGTCTGCCCACCATGGTCTCCCAAAGTGCTAGGATTACAAGCATGAAACACTGCACCCAGCCCCAGGCATTTTGGATAAGGACACTCAACCTGTGTTGGATCTCTGTGCACGTAAGTAAAAGGGAGTGTGTGTTCTGAGTTGCCTTGAGGGTCGTCAGTTTGAAATATGTGGAGTCAGCAGGGAACACACATTGTGGCACTCATGGATTAGCTCCCAAATACTGGACAGATGGTGGCTCCAGGTGTGGGAACATGTGGGTAATACCCTTTTTGGGCACTGAGGAAGGAGAGCTAGGCAGACCCGTGGCACAATTAGTGCCTGAAGAATAATTTACTGCTGACTTCTTCCTATATAATCCTTTTACATATAATCATACCTTAGTTTGTAGTCAGAGGAATGTCTAGAGTAGACACGGTACAGAGCATGAATTAAGGGAAAAACAGTTATACCAGGACAAGAATCTGTGGCCCAGGCGGCAGTGCCTCTGCCTGAAAGGCCATGCGCTACATAACAGGCTGGCCCAGGCGGCAGCGTTCAGTATCATAAAGATACCCGCTGTATGACAGGCTTGGAGCAAGTCACTCCTCCTGAAAAGGAGTTGCAGTACCTTGCGTCCGGTTCTTGTGGAAGGCTGGCCTCAGGCCGGCAAGCCTGCGGGCGTCGGAGGGCTTAAAACCCCACAGGTATAATCGCACATAGGTGGCTGTATACCCCACCAGCCATGCTGCTACGTACTGATTCAAAGCATCCTCCTATAGAAATCACTGGAAGCTGCCAGCAGATGGCTGTAGACCCTGCCAGCTCTGTTGCTGCTATGCTGACTCAAAGCATCCTCCTATAGAATCATTGGAAGCTGCCAGCAGGTGGCTGTGTGCCCTGACAACTTTACTGTGCTGATTCAAAAGCATCCTCCGATAGAATTCCTTAGAAGCAGCCTGCCCCTAGATAAGAAGTGTTCCACACTGCACCCCCTTCACTGCGCACGGCCAACCTCCTTGCCTCGGAGACCCAATGGGGGTGGACCCCTTGCTGCGCACTGCCCATTTCCTAGCCTAGGTGACCTAATGGGGGTGGACCTCTTGTTTATTGCTCACGTGATTGTCTTGACCCTATCACTGTCCTTAAGATGACCCCACTCACTACCCTGCCCGCTAACCTGTACCCAATAAATAGACGCTCCTGGATGTTTGGGGCCTCGCCTGTCTCTGCTTGTAAGCGGCGAGGCCCCCTGAGCCCAGCTGCACTTTCTTTGTCCTTTGGTGTTCTGTCTTTTATTTCTTGGATCCTGTGCCTTGCACAGCGATAGGGGACACCCCATGACCCTGTAGGGCTGGACCCCACAGGAACAAACTGTGTGTGTTACATCTAACTCCTGCTGTGAAGGCTCTCACCTCTCTGGGAGGAACTGTGGTTGAAATGCAGGCCACTACCTGTCAAATCCATCAGCATTTACGAATATGATATATAGGTGACTAGAAGCAAAATACATGCACTTCTGTCCCTTTATTTCTTGTTTTCTGATGATACAACAGGCTAATATTATATAGTGACAAATCTTCCTAGGCCGCGCAGTGGCTCACACCTGTAATCCCAGCATTTTGAGAGGCGGAGGCGGTGGATCACTTGACCCCATGAGTTCAAGACCAGTCTGGGCAGCACAGTGAGACCCCAACTCTAGATCTTTGTTCCTTGGGTGAGTAATTCGGGGGATGAACTGACACCAGTGCTGTCATTTACAATCTGCCTTGTAAACTCTTTCTCCTGCAAGCTGAGTAATGTGTTCTTGCCCTTGGCAGGTTCCCAGAACCTTCTGGCTGGGAAGATGACTTCCAAAGAGATTCGCACTGCGCAGAGTGTGCACGAGAACGCTGCCTAGGTCTGCACTGAAATCTGTCCTGTTGCACACTTTGCCATGACTTGAGGTCAAAACACAAACACCGCAGAGCTGGCAAAGGCCTTTAATGGAAAAGAGGTGAGGGCAGGCCGCCCCTCCCCGGGAGTGCTCGCAGCCCCCAAGCCCCGCTAGCGCAGGAAGTTCCTGGGGTACAGCTGGAAGAGCTTGCCCTCCTGTGTAGGCTCGAAGCCGTACTTTTCCAGGTTGTCAGGGTCGAAGGTACCGTCTTTGAAGTCCTCCTCGATGGCAGGCGCCACGGCCTCGCTGAAGAGCTGCGCGGCCGTCAGGGGCGTCTCCTCGCCCGCAGGCGCGCGGTAGTTCACGTAGGGCTTGAGCTTGAAGCCGGTCAGATCCGGGACGACGAACTCCGGGACCATCTCCTGGATCGGCACGAACCTCCAGCCGGCGGTGAGAAAGCCGGTGTACTTGGCGCCCCGGCCCTTGCGGCCCCTGAAGCTCCGCGGGCCCCGCTTGCTCGTCCACTTGCTCATCCGGTCCGCGCCCCGGACCAGGCAGCGCGCCGCCGCGGCCAGGACGCCCATGCCGCGCCTGCGGGAGGAGACAGCGGGGAGTCGCGGCCCTGGGAACCCGGCCGGCCCTGCCCCGGGCCGCGCGCGGCGCCCGCCCCAATCCGACAGACCCACCTGGACCGGAGATCCCTCACGCGCTCCACGCGGCCCCGCAACGGCTCTGGCACCGAACCCGCGCCGACCCAGCTTCTACCTCGCTCCGCTTCCGGCCACCGCGTCGCAGCAAGAGCGGCTCCGATTGGCCACGGCCGCCGCGTCCAATAAGCGGCCTCAGTCTGGGGGGAGGCGTGGCCGCGGGGACTCGGCCAATGCAAGGAGCCCGCGGGGTGGCGCCGGGCGAGGTGGCCACTGGCGCACGGAGAGGGGCGGGGCGTCGGCTCGCGGGGCGGGGCTGGGGG